ATTTAGGCTATAACTGGTGCATACTGAAATGTAATTCAATTTAGTATTATCTCTTCAGAGCTATTAGAATAATACTAAACTAATTGCAATATCTTCCCATCCTTTTACTAAATGGAGGTTTTAGTTCAGGATAATTTGTAATGTGGCATTGTTTGACCAGCCTGATTTGATTCTGGCTCCTCAAGTGGAACAATTGAACATAGTAGGATATTACTCAACTGTGTGAAATCTCAAATGAATGGGTTATTTGACATAGTCATAATAATTGCATGTGTTATCAGATGATCTATCAGGTGTCTCTACCATAGAATTCTTTCAGAGTGCATTTGAAAGAGAAGTTATCCTATATCTTCGTGGTTTTGCTTTTGTTTTAGGAATCAGCAGTGTCTGCATTAGCTGCTTTATGTAATGAATATTACTGCAATGAAGAGGGAGGAGCAAATCCAGCTGAGCAAGGTAATGATTCACCAGATTCATTTCTATTTTTATTAAAAGATAACTTATGGTGTCGTGCTAACTAAAAAAAAATAAAAAAGAATGCAGCACAAGCTAAATTAGCCTGAACTAAATTTCATATAGAACAAAGTTTGGATAGCTGATTGCCCATGTTTTCTCTAGCATATTATTTGGTTTAATTTTTAATTAACTTGTTTGTGTTTTCATTAAATTAGAATTTTTCCTTGTTTTATAGGCTAATGCTTCGTGAATACTCTGCTGCTACACTAAAACACTTTCCCCCCCCTTTATTTGTCTACTTGTATGGTATCTCAATCATAGTGTAATTTTAGGTGTCTTACACAAGGGGGTTAAAACATCAAAGCAATAACTGCTAAAAACAAGCAGAAACAGAAACACCAAAAATATATGGTGCACACCGGGGATGAAAATAGTACAAATATATACCACATTAAAGCTATTATTGGGGGTAGACTTCCTGTTTCTGCATGGCTTGGTAAAAGAGTCAGCTTTTTAATGGCTCTCTGGAAGCCCAGCAGGATGAAAATCTAATATTTTCCTCAAAGGAAATATATATAATAAATTCTTGGAATTGCTTTCCTGACAGTGTTTTTTAAAAATGTTTTCCTCGTGTTCAGAGAATTCACTAGTAATGCTTTACAATTATGTCACTGAAGGAAAATGGACCTGTGCCATTTTGTGGAGCTTACTCTCATGGTTTGCTGTCAAAACATTGTCATAATAAAACTTTTGAAGATTTTTGCATGTTACTAATACGTTATATACTGAATATTACATAAACAATTTTCAATTGTTTGTTTAATAGCCACCATCCCTCAGGAATAATCAGTAGTTATTCTAATGCTGCAAAGCATCGTTTCTGGAGTTTTAATTACTCAGACAGTGAGTGTTATGTTTTCCAGATTTGCTGGTGCAATACATTTCAGGCCTTCAAAGCCATGAGAAAATGATTCGCTGTGGTTTTTCACTAGCCTTGGGTGCCCTTCCAAAATTCCTTCTAAAAGGCAAACTCCAGGAGGTAAGCTCAAATGCAGGGTAGAATGTTTTATAACAGGTTTCAAGTATTTTAAAAACACATATCTTAATGATACGTGATTGCTTTGTTAAATATAAAATAGATTATATTGCTTCAATGTTTCATTTCTATAACCAAATTTCTGCTGATTTGGTCTCCATTGTCAATTAAGACCAACAGTGAAATCTCAACATTACCTTATGTTTACATTTGGATATCTGTAAGTCACTTATTTATTGGATTTATACGGCTGCCTAATTTGGGAAACTTACAGTTTGAAACTGTAAAAGCACACAAAAGCAACAAATATAAAATAAAATATATTGTATCTTCTTAATATAAAGTACAACAGGATAAATGAATACCATAAATAATAATAATAACAGAAGCAATCAAGGCTAACAAGCACATATCTCATTCAAGGGTCTCTCATTCTATTCAGGCTCATTCTATGGGCACTAGGGGAAAAACAGGTTTTTAGAAGAAGAGAAGGGTCAAGACTGCCCAAGCTTGGAACCAATCATGTTCCATGGGCAAGAGCTGCAACAGAAAACATAAGTCCTGAGTCCTACTGGAAGGCATTGTTTTGTGGAAGAGATCAAAAGTGTGAATAATCTACTGGATCTCATAGATTGAGTAGAGACACTTGGAGATAGATGGTCTTGCAGGTAAACAGTCTTGTGCCATGAAGGGCTTTAGAGAGAATAAACAGAACTGTGAATTGTCCCAGAAGATTATAGGGAGCCAGGGCTATTTGTGAAGCAATATATGACATGGGCAGTTATGAAATCTCATCCATAGTTATTCATGCCACTGCATTTTGGCTTAGTTGCAGCTTCTAGGTGGTTTCCAAGGACAATCCCATGTGATGCATACTGTGGTAGTTGTGTGTGTGTGTGTGTGTGTGTGTGTGTGTGTGTGTGTGTGAGAGAGAGAGAGAGAGAGAGAGAGAGAGAGAGAGAGAGAGAGAGAGAGAGAGAGAGAGAGAGAATATGAATATCTAGGACATCAGAGACCATGAGTGGGGCCTTCTGTTCCAGAAATGGGCTCAATTGGCAGATAAGATGATTTATGCAAAGGCTTCCCTGCCATGGCTCCCAACTGCTCTTCCAGCAGGAGCTGAGAACCCAAGTTCAAGATTGGCATGGGTGCATGCATCTCCATCCTAGTCCTACCCAAAGTCATCTGTAAATGTCATCAACACTATCTGCATGCTGTATCTCAGTCTAATCCAGCTGGAAGGAGTCCAGATAATAAGTTATCATCCAGACTCTTTTGTAGTTGCATAGCCACTCTTACTAATCTTACCCCAAAAAGGAATGTTGGATACCAGATAAAAATAGTTGACTCTTTTGTATCTAAGAAAGATTTTTTTTAAGACAGTTGGATCTCCTTCAAGAAGTGCTTAGAGAAGTATTTGATACGATTTACCTGTTTATTTTCAGAGGCACTCCAGGCATCTCTTTTTTCTGGCGATCTCTGTAGGATTTACTGAAAAACAGGCTGCCACAGTGCAATTTGATCCAAGAACATGCTCCCTGCCACCATCCTGATGTCCTGTTCCATTCAGTAAAGAGGGACTCAGGTGGACCATGTATCAGAGCCTGAGAAATACCCCCAACAGATCCATTAGGAATCTGGAGCAGACAAATCAAATAAATTGTTCCTGCATTGAAGGGTCATTGCAGAGAACTAGGGTGACTAGAAAGTGATCTAGCCATGCAAAGGATTAATGGTTTTATCTTTTATTCCCCAAGATATAAAAGTCTCCCTAACACCTCCCAAAACAAAGGGCCTGAGTTCACACAGTAATTTTTCCAGTTAATTGATCAGGACTTTGGGATGTTCTCCTTTAGCACTCAGCATTCCTGGATGCTAACTGTTAATTCACTTTATGCAAACAAACAAATACACTATCATCTACCCTATATCACCCTACCAGGCACCAAACTCTCTACGCCCAACTACCTACTCCACTCTCCATCTCTCAGCTCCACTACCATCTTCACTTTGTTGTTCTCACTGTGGGTGCCAAATGCCCAGACTGTGACTATAAGTCAAAGTGATTTGGAAAAACTGGAGAGTCAGTGTCAGTTTCCTGCCTTTCATCGGCAAGGGAGGCACATAGTTGAAACACCAGCTCTTCGGCAAACACAGCCAAAATCCATAATTTACATTATTTAAAAAGTCTTAGGTACAGTCCTTTCTTATTCAGTATAAAACTGGCTAAAGCAATGGGGAGGTACAAATGATGCATATGCTGATCCTTCTATGTTCAGGAGTAGTGAGCGTGAGGCAAGATGGCAGTACTCTGGGAGATAGGCCAGATGAAAGCTGCTGGATGTAGATTGGATATCCCATAGGATCATCGGCCTGCTCCTGATGGATTGATTCAAGGAGAGTATAGATAGTGATATAGATCCCGATTTGAAGCATAACAGATTTCATAGAAGTTGGAAATATACGGCTTATAAACAGTAAACAGTAATGACAGTGGTGATGATCACTGTAAGTATTTGGTGGTTTCAAGACAAAATGTGATGGATGTTGAGAATATCAATGTGAAGTTTCAGACAGATTAGCTATGTGATTTTTGCACATAAAAAACCTGTTTGTAAGGAATTATGACATTTCTTAAATAAAGTGCAGCTGCTTGTCAGTGGTTGAGGTGGAAGTAATAAAAGATTAACTTTTAAAAACTAGATTATATGGCCAAACAAACTTGTCAAAACAGATATTGTTTGTATTATTATTGTACGGTTGGCTCAGAAGGATGGGATAGACATCAGCAAGGTGGAACAAAACATAAACAAGACTCACTCTCAAGATCCTTTGAGAGAGGCAGCCAATGGGGCCTGATCACTAGGGTCACTTTGATTCAGGGGCAGGCTGGCTGGATACTGAACCCAGTAATCGTCCCTTGTTCTTTCCGTGATTGACTTGTGTGGTAGGGTATATGCACAAGTGTTGCTAATCCATCTTTTGCAATGTGAGGGAGCATCACGGAAGCCAAACTTCATGGAGATACAGAACTGAAATGGCACAGGTTTAGGCTTGTCCTGTCACCCTAGTAAATGAAAATCAGCCTTTGATATCTGACTGAATGTAAAGCACATCTTTAATAAACCACACGAAAAGTCTGCTTTGTAATGTGTAAAACTACTACATGTTTTCATTACCATCTACCACTTTTCCTCTGTGACCCACTTTATTGTAACTGCTTCATCTCCATTATTTTACATAATACTTCTTGAGAAACATAGTCAAGTGCTGGTTTAGTGTTTGGATTTTCCTTTATTCTTCAAGGTTTTAGATGCTTTGAAAAAAGTCACTTCGATTTCTGGAGGTGTGAGTTTTGCTGAATCCAGAAGAGATGGCCTAAAAGCTGTTGCAAAGTATGTAATCCTTTCTGTTTCATGTACCTAGTAGTGAGTATAGTTATTTACATAAATATATAAATATATATCTTGCCATGTTTTTCTTGTCAGACAAAACTTAATAAAAGTGGTAAGAACATCAATCACTTTTATTATGGCCAAAAGGCTTAAAAGCAGGTTACAAATATAAATTAAACTTGGCATTGGATACAACAATTTATCCAATAAAATATTTAATAAATAACACATAATAGGCTTAAAACCTCAGTATTGATTTATTATTAAAAGCCTTTTTTTATATAGCCGTAGTTAAAAATCTGGCTGTTACCATTGTAATCTTCGGATTTTCATCTTCAAGTAATTTTTTTACATATCTCTTCTTCTTGATTTAGATCAGGCATGTCAAACTTGCAATGTCACGTGATGTCATGCGATGTATCATGACTTTTTCCCCATTGCCGGCAATGGGGTGGGCGCAGTTTCAGCGTGACGCATCTGGCCCGTGGGCTAGCAGTTTGACATGCCTGGTTTAGATGTTAAAATAGACCAGAAAATTTCCTGCAAAAGATTTATAAAATTCACAATACAATAAAATACGTTCCACCATTTCAAGATCAGTACCATTACAAGGAAAAAATCTTGTAAGAGAAGCAGAAATTTTTGAAATCTACCATAAAGCATATTTGATGGCAACCCATTTAATAAGGCTTTTGAAAAGCTATTCTCCATTTATTTAAATAAAAGCTATTCAAATATTTAGAGAGATGAAATATATTAATTAATTCCCAGTGTTGCAGGTGAATACAATACTTTGGCTTTGGCCAATATGGAATTATCCCATTTTTTTGTTTAATACAATGGCTTGCTGATGACATACCCCTGGATATTAGGTAATAAGAACATAATAACTCTAGAAATAATAGAAGTAACTGGAACATTTTTTCGTTCTGGACTTTAAATAAAATCCAGAAAGAGCTTGGAGTGAATTTGTGGAGTCAGTAGAGCGAGGCCAATGCCTCTTCCACCTTTCATCGTGTCCTAGTGTAGCATATCTTTTTGCTCCCCTTCCTTTTCCGCCAGCTCCCCTTCCTTCCTGAACCTTCCCTTTTCCCTCTCTTTAGGCACAGACATTGCCACTGCTGTTTTCTCAGATCCCACAGGTCCACCTGCTCTCCCCCCCCCCCAGTATTTCCAGAGCCATTTATTCCGCTTCTGCTATAGTCACAATACATGATCTTCTCCATGGATCTTCTTTTCTTCTCTCCCACCCTCAGCTGCTAACAATGGACATGCCAGCTCCACTAAGCTGTGATTTGACTAAAGTGAGGAACAGGCTTCCAATTCTGCATACCTGAATAGAATAGAATAGAATAGAATAGAATAGAATAGAATAGAATAGAATAGAAATCTTTATTGTCATTGTTTAACTCACAACGAAATTAAGTGCTGTCCACAGTGCACACTACACAAGTAAAAACCACAAATAAGAACATAGATTATATACACACATCCTTCACATTCTATTCACCATTGCGCTAGCCCCTCCCACTAGCCCTTTCCACTGCCCCTTTCTTTCTTTTTGTTGTCTACAGCTACTGCCAGTATCATTGACTTCTTCCATCTAAGGCAGTCCCATTCCATTCTCTGTACAAACCCAAACATCCTAAACACTCCTGTTTTACTTAGGCCACTCACCAGCTGGTACCATCTGATCCATGAATGGAACAGTTTATGCATGGAACATTTTGCATAGCCCTCTTGTTAATATTTTGGGGGGACTTTTGTTACGATAAGTGTATTTATAAGGTTATAGTTTGGAAGAGAAACTGGTGTTTTTAATGGAAAATGAATCCTTGAGTCTATTTTAAATTCTATAAAAATAGTAATTAGGCTTTAAGGAGCAATATGCGAACAAATCTCTACTATTTTGTTATAAATAAACAGGCTAAATTAATTGTATTTAAATAATAACCTCCCTATCATAAATATAGTCCTTACTAGTTAAATTGTAGAAAACTAAGAAAGATCAATTCAGTAATAAAAATATAATTTTCAGTGTAATTTCAGCTCATTATCCAAATATTCTTTTGCATTTACTTCTGAAAATATGAGCACTTAAATGTTCATGTTGGTAATTCATTTCAAGTCATTCTTATGCTTATCATCTAAGTTGTCAGGTAGCTGTCCTGCATAGTTTCTACCATAAATATGTAGGCTTTGACTGGTTTCCCCAATTTAACTATGTAATTACATAGTGTTTAAGACCTTATAATATCTGAAAACAAGACTGAATGTAATTAAAGTATGTCCTTGAATTCTGAATCAGGAGGAAAATAATTTGTATAGACAAGGGGTTCCATCACATCTTCCTTCCATGAAATTTTAAGGTACACCCCTCCCCTAAAAATCCAAACGCCAAAATGAACATAAATGATCAATGAAAACAAATAATGAAACTTTGGGAAAGGTGAATTTATTGTAACAATGTACAGCTCTGTACAACTTCTTATCATTTTGTAAGCCACCCCAGTTGCTCAATAATGAGATGGGCAGCATATAAATTTAATAAATAAATTAAAAGACTCTTCACACCTCCCCTGGACTCTGCACTTCCCCAAGAGAGGTACACCTCACGGTTTGGGAAGCGCTGGTGTAAATTATGTAGAATGAATTCTGTAATGTGTGGGGGAAATCCAGTAAAAAGCAGGCCCTGTAATATGATACATAGAGAATGACAATGGAAATCATGCATCTCAAACAAGCGATAATCTTTTCCAGTGGGATTTTCTCCAGAACTCCCTGCTATGCTTCCAGTGACAACTTATTAGCAGAAGAAATTGCTTACTGCTTTGTTAAATATCCAGTGTAAATGGCAAGAGTACTTGTATGTTCAGCCCGTTAGAGATCGTAAGACCTAAGGGACTAGTAAAACATCACTTTTTTATGTAAAACAGCTGAACAACTTGTCACTCAGGAGCAAGCTGAACTGCTGATAGAATAATTCCCTCTAAATTTCCCACTGTATTCTGGTCTTTCTCTATGTCATTAGGTATGAAAAAAAAACTTGGCTAGGAAAATATGACAATCAGCTGAGCGGCATGTTCCCCCAGCCTTCCCCTCCCCAATCTACTTAGTAATTCTACTAACAAAGATGTAATACCAAAACTGTGTGTGTGTGTGTGTGTGTGTGTGTGTGTGTGTGTGTGTGTGTGTGTGTATGTATGTAGACTAAAGTTTTATAATATCAAGTACAGGTAGTCCTTGCCTTAATAACCACAACTGGGTCCAAAATTTCAGTTGTTAAGTGATGTGGTTGTTAAATGAGGTATCATATGACTGGACCAGATTTTACCATTTTTATCACATAATTAAGTTAATCGCCATGGTTGTTAAGTGAATCACGTGTTCATTAAGTCAATCATATAGTTAAATGAATCCAGCTTCTCCCATTGGATTGAAAGCCACTTGGCTTGGAAGGTTGGAATCACAATCACATGACTGTAGAATTCTGCAACTATCTTTGTTGTAGTCATAAATGGGTGTTGGTTGCCAAGTGCCAAATAGCACACATGTGACTGTTGTAACTCTGAACCATCATTAAATGAATGGACATAATTCAAGGACTACTTGTAAGACGCATTACTTACATTTTGATTAATAGGTGGTATTGTGCTATTTAATTATTTATTGGGTTAAGCAGAAATTTGTTAATGCACAAGTGTTTTTTTAAAAAAAATATTATATGATTCTAATAATTGTCTTTCTTCCTTCTACCTTTAGAATTTGCTTGACAGTAGGGGTGAATGGAGAAGGATCACCAAATGAATTTGTGTGTAAACATAACGTTACAGAGATATATAACATATTGTTGGATGGTCTGAATGATTACACAACAGATAGCAGAGGAGATGTTGGAGCATGGTAAGATGTGTGGTCTTGATAAAGTCCCAGCTTTATTCTGTAATGCAAAGCAAAACTGATAGACTCAGAGAAAATGTGAAAATGTGGCATCTTACTAAGGCTTTTAACTTACTTTTGAGACTTTCTTCCATGAGAAACCTTCCAAACGTTTATTTTTAATTGTCAATTCCAAAATTTCCTTAGTTTTATTTCACCCTGAAAGAACAGATTTGCTGTTCTGATATTCCATTATGGTGGTTAAACAGCAGAGGGTGTAGTTGTATCAACAGTTGGGCTCCTTCTCTTCTTACATTGCTGCATCCTATAAGCTACATTTTGCACACATTATTTTAAAGAGCAACTGCTATTCATTATCTCTATTATCTACAAACCACAAAGTTTTATTTTGACATAAATAAAAACATGAATGTCTAACCATTTGTACTCATAGCTTAACAAAGAGTGAATTTGTTTTACATGAACATTTGAATTTTCCTATTATTAAATTGCATTGCATAATTTTGCCTAGTTGCATAAAACTAACCAAGCTCAGCTGGTCAGGACTTTTTTTTTTATAAACAAGTTTTATTAGTTTTTTAATTTTTATATCAGAGTGCTCAAGAAACACCGTGGTGAGGGGATAATCAATCATCCAAAGACAAAGTCATATATATATAACTCAAATTAATTCATTAAATGTTCCCTCTATATTTCCCTCAAATAGTATAACATATTTAGGTTAATCCATTTCTACATTACATCTATATAAATCCAAATCCTGTTTTTAAGCTTTACTAATTTATAATTACCATAATCCAATTTAATCTTGAATAAACATATTATTAGCACTTTGGGTATCCCTTCTACAATACACATAATATTCCGACAGTAACATTCTAATATTTCCAAATATATTCTAATTCTTAGTCTAACAAGTCATTGATCAGTATCAATTCTTCTCTTATCACAAATCTCTTATTTCTTCTTCCACTACAAAATAGTTATCCTACTTAAAATAAAAATATTATTCTACTCTATTTTAAATATATAATCTATCAGGCAATCTATTTCTATATAATAAAAAGAAAAAAATCATTTCAGCCCATTAGGTAAGATTTAAATCTCGTCCAAATAATTACCATATCTAAAACAAGCATATTATTACACAAATTTCATCTTGCTAACTTCACATACTCAGTTAATTGTTAAGTCAGTCCAGATCTCTAAAGCCACCCATTAAGTAAAATTTTAAATCACATTTTTAAATCTAACTCTAGCTTTCTTTCTGTGCCAGGCCGCATCTGTACCATCAAATCTCAGTATTTGAGTACGGATATTTATCGACACATCAATCTGGTCTAAGTTCTCTTCCCTTTCTTCCAGTATCATCTGGATAGTATAGTCAATTTTGTTCCATGTTGTAGTTACTAGTTGATTATCCAGATTATCACAGCTTTCAATAGATTGCATCTGAAAGTCAGTTCCTGTTGCTTTTAAGACTTGCAAGTATTTCAGTTGAAGTCATTCTTTGATCATCAGAGTTCTCCATAATTTGTACGTAGGCTTGTGAAATATCCTCTTCTGTAGTGATTAGTTGACTAGTAGAATGATCAATTAGAGTCTCAATTTGAGACTTTAAGTCAGGCATTTTTCTAGAGCTCAACTGATCAGTAGCTTCTTTCTCCATCTCTTTAAATTGTGTGCACTGTTGCATATAGGCCTCTTTAAAGCTAGTCTGTTCCTCCTTTATTGTTCCTTGGCCTATAGGTTGGTCCATTAAAATTTGAAATTCAGTTTGTGGTTCTGCAAAATGATTTTTAATTTTTCTTCAAGATTTCATGTACTCTGTAGCTTCCAGGAATTTTTCCAATATAAGCTCATAATCAAGCTGTGGGTAAGATTCCTCCATTTCCATGATAAAATAGTCTTAGTCTTTTAGTAGAAGCTATATTTATAAGAACTTAACAAATATCCACCTCCACAATTTCTAGTAAGCAAATTCAGCTCACAGCTGCTTCAAGGCCTTTATCTTTTCCCTTTTATTATCATTTGAAGGTCAAATCCATCTTCAAACACCAAGAGAAAGTATAATTGCAGTAACACTTTTCACCACAAGTTGTCCTCAGTAGGCTGTAACAGCATAGTAGATAAAATAATAATAATGTTCTATGATGAGGATTTTTTTCAGGGCCCCAAAATATCCCAAAAATTAAATATCCAATAAAAATTTACTGTTTTATAGTTTTGTTCAAAGCTTTTTTCCCCAAATAAACAAATGCTGCTCTCTTAGGGCAGGGAAGTCATTCAGTGGCTTTTTACAGGAAAATAGTTAGGGCTAAGAGAGGGAAGGAAAGGTCTCACCCGGATTTCTCCACGATGGTCCTTCACGCTTAGCTGTTCTTCTGACTTTCGGCTGATGCAGCTAGGTGATCAGCCATTTTACTGGCCAATTTTTTCTCTGACGGTCCTAAGGAGCTAGCTCGGACCACAGAAGGAGCTGCCGCTTTTCTGCAGTTAATGGTGGTCGCCCCTTCAGGGCGACTTTTCTACCCGATTAAGGGGTCTGCTGGTGAAGAGATGGAGCTGTCCGCACGACTGCACACGCTGCGATCTGGAACCGGAAGTCCAGCTGGTCAGGACTTTGATGGGAGGCTCCAGGCTCTCATAGGCTAGCTTGGGAAGTCAAAATTATAATCTGAAAGAAGTGAGTGGCAAACCATTTCTCTGGTGTTGTCAAGGAAACTATTTGGCCAACTATTTGGATTTTCATGTGGCCATGAAATCACCAAAAGTTGAGCTCAACTTGAATAAGACAGTGTATCATTTTGATTGTTAAGTTATGGAGTGCCAAGATATTTAAATTAAGGAGTTTTAAAATTAAAGAAATAGGTTTTATGCACTGCAACTTTATAGTCTTGTTCAAAGCTTTTTTTCCCAAGTAAACAAACACCGCTCTCTTAGGGCAGGGAAGTCATTCAGAGGCTTTTTACAGGAAAATAGTTAGGGCTACGAGAGGGAAGGAAAGGTCTCACTCGGATTTCTCCACGATGGTTCTTCACGCTTAGCTGTTCTTCTGACTTTCGGCTGGTGCAGCTAGATGATTGGCCATTTTACTGGCCGATATTTTCTCCGATGGCACTAAGGAGCTAGCTCAGACCACGGAAGGAGCTGCCGCCCTTCTGCAGTCAACGGTGGTTGACTGCAAAATGTGAAGAGTTGTTTCTTTTAAATTGCTACATGTATCCTTGAATCAATCTATTAAAAAATATTTTATAGCATATTTCCTGCTTACATGCTAAAAAAACCTCTGCAAAAGAATTGAGCGTATAATTTGTAGCTTCAGAATGTAACGAAATTCAAAGATAGCATAGCATAAACACACAGTGAGTGACTGGAGACATGATGGTAGTTGGAAATCCATATTTAGATTTCACTTTTTGTTTATTTTTTAAAGACATGTTTAGTTTTTGGGGCCCAAATCATATTAAGGCAGTTGCAGCTTACTGCTGTGAATGTTTCTTTCTGCTACTATTTGATCAGAAAGAAAAAAAAACTTATAGAAAGTTGTAGGTAGAGGAGTAGTATTAAGTAAGAATGTGGAGTTAGTAAGAAAGAAATATTTTCTCTGCTGTCCCTTTCTAGAATATTTAACTTTTGGAGAAAGTATAATAGGAATTCCAACCATGTATTCACAAATTTGTAACCATTTATATATCCTGAATTTATCCTGAATTAAGTGTTGATTTTAGAATAAACATAGATACAAATTTGTATCCATGCTTATTCTAGAGTTTAAACTTATTTCAGGACAGAAATATTAAATTTGAACATCTCAGAGTTAGCATTTCTGTTTCTATGTTAAATAATATAGCTCTTACCTCTGACCAGATAGTCAAGTTCCACTAAATCAAAGCTTCTTCAAACTGATACTCAATGGGTTGGAAAGGGAACTGAATGCGTGGGCATTCTTGGGAAAATGCTTTCTGAGGTGTGTGTCTGCACCAGTTTAAAAAAAAAAAAAGTCCAAAAGGAATAGGAATCTACATGAACCTTCGATTATTTTTTTTTAAAGGATTCGTGGGAAAGCTAACAAACTGTATTTTCCATATGCAAACTTAACATTCCTTTTGACAGACTGTTTGCTGGGACTTGTCCAAATTCTGTCTACAGGTGTTAAATATAAAAAAACCTTAAGAGCAAGATGCTGTGTGAAAAAAAGAAAAAGGTTCTTTGATTAAAAGTGGTCTAATTGCTCTCTGTGTGGGTGTACGAATATGCACGTGTGTACATGCTTGTGCAGGGAAACAGACAGAAATCCAGTAGTCTAATTCTTATTTACATATTCATTATTTTGAATTTTCCGTAAAAAAGTAAAAAATGCATAACGTGTTACTGTGTTGTGATATAGATAGATTTCTTGAGAATGAGTTATAAAACTGGCAATGTAACAGCAGATCAAATGGGGCGTTCATTAGATTATTTTGCAAAAAAATGCATGCATTCACTATTCCAATGCACATTTTTCTGTTCTTCAAAACATCTTTTTGAGTGCATTCTTTGCTATCTTTTCTGTCTTTTCATTCTCTTATTCAATAATCCATTTTGATTGTTCTCACTTGTATTAACACATAATTATTTTTAAATTCTACATTAGAATTACCTTTAAATACTAAATTAATGAATGAATGCCCAGAATTAAAGCCATCTAATGGCAGGCTCTAGCTTGATTATGTGAATACATAGAAGGCTAATCTGCATGAAGAAGCAACCAAATCTTCACCTAGTTGCGCATATTTTTCTCTTGGTCCTTGAAAAGAATTTCTTCTGATTTCTTACTTGATTTGGATAAGCAAGGAGACCTGGTTAGATTTGCTTTTTCTGTTGATGGCATATTTCACTGCAGAAAATTAGCATCAGAAGAAGGACTGATGATTAATATAGCAATATAGTCCTGCAGCTGTGACTTTTCCTAGTTAATTAGAATTTGGCTTCTATTGTTCATATCTAAGCCATCTAGAATCAGTGTGAGCGAGTAGGCAGCTGTATAAATTTTCTAAATAAATAAATACCTGGGAAGATTTTGGATAGCCTGTAATAATTGCTGGAATATTTTAATACTTTAATGTTTGATAGGAAGGATATAGATATTCTATTGATTCAATTGTTTGCTTGGAGTGATATCTTATTTGGGCTATTGATTGTTTCTCATAAATAACATAAAGCCTAGAATATGTGAAAAATAGTTTTTTTCCCATATGACGTTGTCTAGGTTTTGAGTGTACAAATGAGATTGGTTGTGAGATGCATCATTAATTTAACAGAATGAGTGTGTATCCATTTGGAAGAAGCATGGTCATGTAAAAATAAGAAGTCTTTGACTCCTTCCTAACATGGAAAAAATATAGATTTTCCTCTGTTTAAAAAAATCTATGAAATGCTAAAAAAAATGATTCAATTAGGATAATATTGTTAGAAGTAAAGTCTTCATCCTGGTTCATCCAAGCCGGGAATAAATAAGCAAACATGGCGACTGCTTTGGGAAGAAGGTTACACTTTATTGCAGAAAGGTGGTTCTTCAGGAAAGTGCAGAGGAGAGAGAAGGGCGGCAAAGAGAAGGAGAAGGAGAAGGGCTGAGCACATGGAGCAGTAGGCTTTTATACCCCCTCTAGCCTTGTTTGGAATAGTTTCCTGTTCCTGTGGCATGAACCTTGAGGCTGTTTCTGAGTGTTTGTCTAGGCCTTGATATCTGTGGTTTAATTCTATTATCATA